GTATCAAACAATTATTTTATTGGCTGCTATATTTCATATAGCCTCTCAATTGACCTACCTAACCAATCCCAACCCAACCTAACTTAACCCAACCTAGCCAATCCTAACCTAACCCAATCTAACCTAACTATACGTCGAGCCGAGTGCCAGTAATAAAAGAAGTTTGGACTTATGGGAAAAATTATCAGACAAGTCGAAAGTAAGAAAAAAGTCCGAATTTACTTATGAAACAACAAGTGGGCCATAGCCTCTGCGTCTTCGTCCTTTTTGCAGTCTACTTCGTAAATATTGTTTCTTCCACTACTACTTTTATATCTCACCAACTTGTTGACTTTGGATTAATGGCATTTGCGAGACACGAGAACAAACTCAGCATCTGGCGCCATAAATGAATCTAGAATGTTAGGTAAAACGACCATAATCATGAATATTAAACCACCCATATCCTCACCTGAGTTTCGTGGCTCATTCTTGTTTTCTCTGTAGATCATCAACATTTTCGTCAATTCACTCACTAATAACCGTCAAATTTTTCCTTTAATATTATCAAAGTCAAACATTAATCTCACTGTTCTTACACTCTCACAATTGTTGATAAATGTTACCTATAACCAAACACTAATTAAGCGTAAACAAAACGTGATAAGTCCCCGTTAATGGCCGCCGGGTATTGCCTGTGTAGCAGTTAAAAGTGAAGCGTCAGGTAAAAATGAAACACCAGACGTACAGACTTATTCAGACAGCGGCGGACAGCGGACGTTCGCTTGGCTTGGCTTGGCCGTGCAGTCCGCGAGTATATTGTCTTGGCAGTCCGCCTTAGTGCTGCTCATGTGACACGTACAGTAGCTAAAACAGCTGTCTGTAATACTACATTATGCAAAAACAACATTTTTAAAGATCAGAATCACATTGAAATATTACACGACCGTCAGCAGAGGCGGGAAATATGACTGCGAACAACTTCATATTTTTCCCGCCTCTGCTAACGGGCGTGTAATATTTATGTAATTCTGATCTTTAAAAAATTTGTTTTTGCATAATGTAGTAGTACTGATACGTAATTTGTTTTAGTATGCCTTATTGTGGGTAAAAATAAGTATATATTACAGGTTGACAATCCCTTATCCGAAATCCTTGGCACCAGAGGCATTTTGGATTTTGGAAATTTTCGGTTTTCAGAATGGCAAATTATTATTTTTTTTATTATTATTATTATTAGCCCACCCGGTCCCAGATCACTGACCCACATCAGGGCCTGGGGGCGAAAATATAATAATTATAATAATAATAATTCATAGGTCTAGGTCGTGTTTCTCACTTTTGATCTTTTTTTTCATTCTTGTATTTCTTTATTATTATTATTATTATTATTATTATTATTATTATTATTATTATTATTGTTATCATTATTATTTTATTTTGGTGTATTTTTATTAAAAAATTTATTTACTATGAATAATTATTATTATAATTATTATTACTATTACATTTTCGCCCCCCAGGCCCCAATGTGGGTCAGTGATCTATGCCCAGGTGGGCTAATCCTTGTCTAAAAAAAAAAAAAAATGCCCCACAAAAAAAAAACTTTCGGTTTTCGGAATTTCGGATAAAGGGTTGTCAACCTGTAAATGCATCCTCCGAAAGCGTGAATTGCTACCAGAGTTTAACAGTTAATTCATGTATAATACCTTTGATAAACTTTCTACGTGCTTATGTTTGAAATAATGAATGTATGTATCTTTATATAATTTAGCTAAATATCTTTCTTGTCAGGAACGGTCATTCCAACGATTATGAATAAACTCATTTAGAAATACATCATTACTTTAGGACAAAATAGGACAGGTTTGCAATAGCCAATCAGCTGTAACTCTTGAGGAGGGGGCGGGGCATCTCAGCTGAGAAAAAACGCACTATAGTTGGGAGACTGTTCGCGATGCCTCGTTTACCAACGATGAAGTTAAATTTGTATTTCCTCAATTATCAAAGGTTATCCCACTAACGAGTTTATTATGCTATTTTTTGCGTGTTTACTACTTCACTCCTCTCGGTATTGGTTAAGTGTATCCACGTGCACTAAACACAAATTACTTGGCATAAAATAGTTTCTGTCTAATAAAGTTTAAATTATCATTCACGATAATTAATTTATATTCCCTTGTGACAGACCAAAGACAGACAGAATTATTTATAGACAAATATATAAATGCATAGACAGAAACAGGGAGATAGGAAGAAACTGGTTCACAAATAGGGTGGTGGACGAGTGGAACAAGCTTAGCAACTTTGTAGTAAGTGCGGGAACTCTGGAAAGTTTCAAAAGGAGGCTAGATAGATTCATGGATGATAGAGAGTGGTAGTAACTCTCGACAGGAGCTGCCATGCACAGGCCAACCGGCCTATTGCAGACTCCTTATTTTCTTATGTTATTTTCTTATGTTAACTTGTCACAACTGCCCTGGGCGAGAACCAGTGATCCTTACAGAACATTATGCAAGTGATGAACAGTATCCACTCTAACACCGTATTCTATATTTAGCAGGAACTCTTTAAAAGGCTTCCAGTAACTCCCAGCAAAACGAGAATATATCTGACAGTCAAAATATGTCCGCTGTCACCCGGCTGCCATCATCCTCGTAAATCTCACACACACAAACATTAAAGGTCAACACACAGTCCACCAACATTTTTCTGCCTAACAATAATGATGAGTCGACGTACAGTATGTGATGTGATGAGTCCAGAGTACAATGTGTGAGGTGATGAGTCCAGTGTGTGAGGTGATGAGTCCAGTGTGTGAGGTGACCATGAGAGAGAGACAGGCGGCATTTTACCTCACCCATAATGTCAAATGGACTCTCATTATTTTCGACCGGTTCTTTCCACCCACAGTGTCACCATGAGGACGACCAGAGTTTTAATTGAAGACGATTTCTTCTTGTTAGCCAATTATAGCCATTTAGGCATGTCTTCTTCCCCGGACTGATTAACTTACAGACAGGCAGACACACAGACAGACAGATAGATAGATAAACAGACAGATAGATAGATAGAATAAGATGAAGTCTGACATGCTAATATTGTTTGTGCACTTAGTTTATTTCTGTCACTCAGATGTCCAGTGCAACTTTAGGCGCTCGAGACTAACTCAGTTCACTAAACACTCCGCCACCGCTGACAGATTTACATTAACACGTTATATGAAACTGATAAACTCTTCTGGCTCACTGTTAGTATTTATTAATGGCGCGTTCACTCTTAGCTTCTTTAATGGAGTTTTACTGAATACATAATGACCTGGTAACTACGCACAAAGACATAGTGCAATGATAAATTTGTAGTATAATTTTGATAACTACAAGTATAATGGAGCTAAGACACACTGTTCGCTTAAAGGCACTCTGCTAAATAATTACACTTAACATGTGGCAGGAAAAATTGCGGTTGTTGGGGGGTCAGGTTGTGTCGGGTGAATATCAGGTTACAGTAGTTAGTGGTCGCCGCCATTACTCTCGGGTTGTCATTTGGCGGCGGAAGACACCAATATATCTCGCTTTCATTGTTTCCTTTTACGCTTATTATCTTTACTTCATACACGGTAAGTATTGAGGTGAGAGACCCTTTAGTGCGTGTGCGTGTGTCTTTAACTGACCCTATAACACGACGATGAGGACTTTCAATACTAATCATCTCATGGAGTCGGATACATACATACTGTACATACATGCATACATACATTCCTCTATTTTACTCACTAGAATTGTCAAATAAGTTCACATTAGTTCAGCATGTACACAGACAGTGGAGGTATAGGGAAAATGGCAATAAAACACAGTAGGGCGCTTCCATTAAAGATTCTATGAGTAATTTTAATAAGTCAGTAAAAATAGTCTATTAACTAGAGCTAAAAACTAACCAGGAAGAACCACAGTAATTACCAATAAGGAAGAAATACATCGTACGACTTAAGAAATGGAGGTGAAATTATGTGTCACTGCAGGATGTGACATTTGACCACCTAGATGGCGGGTCGTGGTCTCCCCAGAACAACAATGTGTCTCTGTCTGATACTAATAACACAGATACGAGAACTATAACGCCAACCGGAAGGAAAAATCTAAACTTGCTAATGGTGTTTTATATACCTCGCTGTTCTTGTGTTTCTGTTTTTATCAATGTTGTGAGTTATTACCAAAATTTAGGTGCATCATTTATCTCAATCGATTTTAAATTGCGACAGTAGGAGCTATTATATTTATAAAATGCGCTAGTTTAGTATGACAGAGGTCTATATCTCATAATTCTAATATTGTTAGACTTACCTTACTACGCAAACCTTCGTTGTTCAAGCGAGGTAATAACATTATAACAATATAACATGTTTAGTGGTTGATATCATATAGCAGTCACCCTTACATCTTTCAACTGGGATAAAAGAAAACGAATTCACTCACAACATTCTAAGAAAACGAAATTATTAAAGCGCCTACCATTGTATTTGCTGGCATCTTTAAAAACATTCACAATCATGCATATGTTACATCTTCCTTATTTCCGTGGGTATAATGAGCAAATTCGATAGGATTATAACCGTTTGATACATTAATCTAAGCAGAGAATGTGATTAACTATGAAGACTGAAGTACAGAACTAGCCTATTGAAGTTTTATACGAACGTTGACCGATGCTGTCACGGTTCACTCGGTTGGCTAAACAAACCAAAATGTTGTTAAGTGATAATTAAGTAGTACTTTAATTCCTGGAAGATTAATTGGTTCAAATACCGATTTTTTTTAGTTGTTTCTTTAATACGAGTGCTGTATGGAAACTACAAATATAATCGCAGTTTATGCTGGTTTCTACCAATCAGTCAATGGTTAACCAAAGAAAATTGTTTATGTAAAAAATGACAGCACTCATATACGGACTGAAAAAGGCGGTACCTGTGTGACAGATGTGACAGTCAACGTTCGTAGAGCAAATGAATCAGACAGTACCTGTATGAGAGACGCGGCCTGAGGGAGGTGTAGGGGTGCAGGAGGTCCGGACAGTCGAGGTAGGTGGCCCCATCAGTGAGGTCCAGCCAGGCAGGGTCATCATCTTCATCTTCGGGCTGGAAGCGCGGGGGAGGGACCAGTAGGGGGCCATGGGATCGACCCCCCGTGGCCCCCAGTATACCGTGAGAGGCTAGGCTCGAGGGATCCACATAAGGACTGTTTCCGTCGTCATCCCCATCATCCTCAGGGATAACCTTCACCTCTGGCACCAGGGCCGCCGCCATTACACACGCATCCTGCAAGTTAATGTGAATTGTGAATAATCTTTAATTATTATCTATTCACAGCCAAGAATATAGGTACAGCAACAAGCACAGGTGGAGAATTTTGGCAATTATTATTACGAGTATGTTATTTAGAGACATGATCTTGTACACACACAAACACTCACTCTTCTCCAAGATAAACAAAACAAAAACATCTCTAATAAAGATAACGCAATTCTACCGAGATGTAAAAGGGGGATAATTAGTATTGCTATACATAAACAGGTTTTTAGGCTGAATTTATAGAAACACTGACCAAGCTGTGAAAAGTTCCCCTCCCTCACAACCTTCTTAACGAATACAAGTTCATCTCCGGCAAACAGATCTATTTTTAACCCGCACATCAGGCTGTGGCTGCCGAACGACAGGTACTAATGACATGTATGTGATAAATAGCATACTACACACAGGTTACCTAACACTCCCTGGCAAGATTTTGAATGTATAAGTGGGGTTCAAGTGTTATACAGGAGACATGAGTATACTGTATCTCCAAAAGTAAGATCAACACAGTTTCTCACCAACACTGTTCTTATCTAAATGACGTGTAGAGAACGTAAAGTAAATGGATTAGATGAGACAGATGACAAATTCTTTAAGTTACAGCATTTTAATTGATTTTGTAGAATAATAAAAATACCCTTTAATATGGAAACACTGTAGACACCCAACCCATTGAAAGACTCTTGGGGTATTTATGTTTATTTAGAATTATGATCCTTTTGTTAGAGTGAATTAAGAGATAAAGTTGTTGGGTATCACCTGAAGGTGAGACACCTCAAATTATTTCACTTGAAGAGTATCCAACCCTAACGCTAACCTTACTTAAACTAACCTCACCTAACCATCCCAGGTAGCGTTAGGGAGGTTAATCTTCAGGTGAAATAAGCTTGGAGGTGACTAATCTTCAGGTAATCCAGTTGTTGGTCACATCCACACTGTATAACACTCACCTCGATTATGCGGTTCAGTTCTGGTGCCCCTATTATAGAATGGATATAAATTCACTAGAGTCGGTGCAGCGAAGAATGACAAAAATGATTCCGGGACTTAGAAACCTTCCGTATCAGGATAGGTTAAAGAAACTTAACTTGCATTCCCTAGAAAGACGAAGAGTGCGGGGAGATATGATAGAAGTATTTAAGTGGGTGAAAGGAATCAATAAAGGGGATATAGATAAAGTTCTTATAATATCCGAGCAGGATAGGACTCGGAGCAACGGATTCAAGTTGGATAAGTTTAGGTTTAGGAGGGAGATAGGAAGAAACTGGTTCACAAATAGGGTGGTGGACGAGTGGAACAAGCTTAGCAACTTTGTAGTAAGTGCGGGAACTCTGGAAAGTTTCAAAAGGAGGCTAGATAGATTCATGGATGATAAGAGAGTGGTAGTAACTCTCGACAGGAGCTGCCATGCACAGGCCAACCGACCTATTGCAGACTCCTTATTTTCTTATGTTCTTATATGTATCACAGATGAACACACACACACGAGCGACTGTCCTACCACCACCTCCCACCGACTAAGATTGTATACACACCCATAGTAATCCCCTCCAAGTATACACAATCCCTACATACCAACATACATATACTCCAAATATAGTGAAAAATACACCGTTTGCCTGGCAGCTTCCCACGACCCTGAGAACAAGCCCGGCCAATCCTTAAAAACGAGTCACAACTTCATTAGGTTCTTCTTCCCACCAGCCGAGGTTCACTGTAACAACATTACCACCACGAGGCTGCAGCTTCACGTCACCTGAGTTTGGCGCTGAAGCACACGAAAAAAAACCTTTCAACTTATTTTTTTCTCTTCCTGCTTTGTCATCCTGTTTCCTTTGGTGGTTTTTCGTCTCTTGAACAAAATTTGTAAGTGTGTAATATGTAAGTGTATGTGTAAGTATATAATATGTAAATTTATCACATGTAAGCGCATATTATATATAAGTATATAATATGTATAAGTGTATTATAGGAAAGTGTAGAATTAGTAAGTGTACGCAAATCATGACAATTTCAAACTAAATAAAGAATATACAATATATGTATAGACTAAACAAAGCTTAACACTGGCAGCTAATTCCAATTTCTAACATACCTTTCGGAAACTACAGTAATTTAAAACAGTAAATTAAATAATTCGTGGAAACAAATTAATTTCCAACTAATATTTTATCCAGTATTTTAAAATGACCCGGGGAAAAATATTAAAGCTTTTATGTCACCTGGAAATTAACCACCCTCCCGTTACCTGGGTTGATTGGGTTAGGGTAGACTAGCTTAACCCTTTCACAGCTGGAGGTTACCCTAAGCTGAATAAAATGATCTGGCGGTGGCAGAATAAAATGCATGTGCGTGACACGCGGTGAAAGGGTTAGGTAAGGGTAGGTTAGATTAGGTTGGGTCAGGTTAGCGCTAGGTTAGGTTAGGTAAGCTTAGTGTTTGCTTAAGAAAGCTTAGCGTTAGGTTAAATAAGCTTAGCATTAGGTTAGGTAAGCTTATCGTTAGATTATGCTGGGTTAGGTTAAGTAAGCTTAGCGTTAGTTGAGGTAAGCTTTGTGTTAGTTTAGGTAAGCTTAGTGTTAGGGTGGTTACCATTCAGGTAATCTCATTTTTTGCATATTAATCTATAAATCATGGACTTGTTGCTTAAGTCAAAAGGTAGATTAATTCCACAGTATTCCCAACACAGTGCAGTCTTTGACCTCACACCACTAACACAGTACACAAGAAACAGGAACGACAACTGGAAACCAAAACACACAAGCCACTAATGCCAAAACAATCATCTTCCTTCATCAGTATCAGTCATGTACACTTGTACAGTAAAGGTCAAGTCTCCACGAACACTTCTAGTAATATCTGGCATCTACCTGAGGATCGTGTAAGGATAATTGAGAATTTAACATCTTATTTACTCGAATTTTCTTTGTATTACAGTTTTTTTATGTTATTCTGTAATAATTCATAAAGACAAGCATCACTCGTCAGGAAAATAACAGGTAGATGCCAGGTATAATATCACTTGTTCATGGAATTTGGGACACAACTGTACAGGCCTGAAGACCTCATCACTTCCAGCCTCATATAAACAATGAACAAACCCGTATTGACAAACAAAGCTTCAACACAAGAGGGTAAAGACACCGTGGAATACATAATAATAAACCATAATATTTGGGATGAAATGAAGAGGTGAAAGTGTAAACAAACGAATCAACATTAACAAATAAATTAATTAATATTTAGTGTGCGTGTGTGTGTGTGTTTGGGGAAAGTGTAAAAGTAAAAAAAAAAATAGACAATAAGTATAAAACGTAATATAAAAGAAATACTAAATTCGTAAAAAATAAAGAAACAATATGTTAAATTTGTGAAAATAATAACTAGAAAACGAAACCAAAACAAATAATAAAACAAAAGAGTAAAACACGGGAAGCAAACACCAAAACATATAATGCTTCTTAGAGACATGATATTTCAGTTAGAGAAAACGTATAAAGTCCGGGAACAGTAGAAAACGACTCTGGAAGGAGGAGCTTAGACGGTGTTGAGAAGTTGAATATAATCTTTTGAGCATCGCAGGTGTTGAGAGAGAGATCTTGAGTAGGTGACGCGCCAGTGACAGCCTAGCAGGAATTACAGTGGTGAGGGTCGAGTGTTAGAATAGATTTCCCTTAAAACAATAGTAATTTCCTTTAAAAAATACCACCTTCCCTTAAAAATATTCCCTTCCCTTAAAATATTATCTTCCTTTAAACAATATTCCTCTCCCTTAAAATATTATCTTCCTTTAAACAATATTCCTCCCATTTACAAAACATATTCCCTCCTCTTTAATAATCCCATCTTCCCTTAAAATATTCCCTTTCCTTGAACAATATGTCCTTCCCTTAACAATATTCCCCTCCCTTAAAATATTATCTTCCCTTAAACAATATTCCCCTCCCTTTAAAAAATATTCCCTTTCCTTAAACAGTATTATCTTTCCTTGACAATGTTCCCTTCCCTTAAAACAGCATTTCCCTTCATTTACACACTATTCCCTTCCTTAACAGCATTCCTTCCCTTAAAACAGCATTCCTTCCCTTAAAACAATATTCCCTTCCCTTAACAATATTTCCTTCTCTTATACAGTATTCCCTTCCATACTCAGTAAGCAATAAGGTCATCGCATCAGAAACCCAAACACCATCAACAGGACTTAATAAACTAATAAGTCACTTCACTGTGTTTAGTCGTTGAATAAATCACATGACAAGAGTGATCTTTCGGCTCCACAATCTGCGCTGATGCCCCGACTCACCTAGGCAATAAGATGCCCTCCATCAGACACACACACACACACACACCTACCTCTCGTATGTATGTATGTATGTATGTATGTATGTATGTACTGTATGTATATATGTATGTATATATGTATGTATTTATGTATGTATATATGTATGTATTTATGTATGTATTTATGTATGTATGTATGTATGTTATTAAGGAGGCAGGAGATGATACTACTACTACTACTACTAATAATAATAATAATAATAATAATAGTTCCCTCGGCATCTAATATTTTAACTTAATTAGATTATTTTAAGTCGTTCCAATAATCTGTAATGGAAGAGAAGAGAAGAGATACTGAAATGTGTTTGGATAGAGACAATATAGTAAAGGGGTGATGGTCAATGTCAACAAATGGATAGTGACAACACAGACAGGAAAGGTCAATGTCTGGATAGTATCAACCCCTGGAGGATAGAGACTATAGACGGTAAGGATAGTGAAGATAGATGACTCGTGGCGTCGCCCATTCCCTCCGTACATTTTAATCAAGTCAAATTTCGGGACACCATTTGGACCATAATATCAAGAGGTCTTCGTTCCCTCTTAATCACCTCTTAGCCAGTTAACAGTCTTTATTCTTTGTTTATTATTGTATTTTAATTTACTTTATCTTGTTATAGTTGGTCTGGCATCACGATAATTGCGACCAAGCCCCAGGTTTCTCATCTGACTTTCTGCTTCATTTACACACAAGTGCAGGGTCTCAATTGTTTCTCTTACTTGACAACATGACATACTTATAGCATTTCTAGCTATTGATTTTTTTGTATTGTTTTATCGTTCTGTTATTATTATTATTATTATTATTATTATTATTATTATTATTATTATTATTATTATTATTATTATTATTACAGTGTTATTATGGTTATCATTATTAATTTATTTTACTTTTATTTCACTTTATTATTATATCTTCTATTAATATCAAGCCATCGTAAAAATAAACACGATTTATCGAGGTCATACATCATATACGTAAATTAATCTCTCTCTCTCTCTCTCTCTCTCTCTCTCCCTCTCTCTCTCTCTCTCTTTTGCAGATAGGGAACAGATAAGATCCTTCTCCTGAACAAACAAACGTGCTGGACCATCGCTACAAGACCCGGAAACCCGTGTCTTATCACCTTGCGTCAAAAGGAACATCTCACCTAACCTAGCACCGTATTCTAACCAAACCTGCACCACCCTTTAACCTTTCCTAGCACCACCCTCTAACCTAACCTAGCACCACCCTCTAACCTATCCTAGCACCACCCTCTAACCTAACCTAGCACCACCCTCTAACCTAACCTAGCACCACCCTCTAACCTAACCTAGCACCACCCTCTGACCTAACCTAGCCCCACATTCTAACCTAACCTAGCACCGTCTTCTAACCAAACCTGCACCACCATCTAACCTAACCTAACCTTTCCTAGCACCACCCTCTAACCTAACCTAGCACCACCCTCTAACCTATCCTAGCACCACCCTCTAACCTAACCTAGCACCACCCTCTAACCTAACCTAGCACCACCCTCTAACCTAACCTAGCACCACCCTCTGACCTAACCTAGCCCCACATTCTAACCTAACCTAGCACCGTCTTCTAACCAAACCTGCACCACCATCTAACCTAACCTACAACAATCCTTTATGTCACGCAAAATTACCAAATGCCTCAAGAGAAAACTAAATGTTCTCTCTCTCTCTCTCTCTCTCTCTCTCTAGGAAAGTCACAGTCACTCTTGGGCGAGTTACAACTATCCCTGGGTAAGCTCTCTCTTTTCTCTTCCCCCGTCCTTCCCTCTACCCATTCCACCCTCCAATCCCTCTTTCTCTCTTGCTCTCCCTTCCCTTCTTCCTTCCCTTTCCCACCTCCCTCTCCCTTCTCAAAGCCTTACCCAATATTTCTTTCCTTTTCCCCTTCTCCCTCCGCTTTCTTACCTCTTCCCAATCTCTTCCTCCTCTCCATTTCCACTTCTCCTCTCCCTTCCTTCTTCCCCTTCTTTTCCTCCCTCCTTCCCCCTCTCTTCCTCCCTCCTTCCCCTTCTTATTTTCTTCCCTCTTCCTCCTCTCCCTCCTTCATTCCTTTCCTCCCATATTCCCTTTCCTTCCTCTTCATCCTTTCCTCTCCAATCTCTTCTCTCCCCACTTCTCCCTCAGGTAACTACTCACCCCGTGCCTCGCGTTGTCAGGTAAAAGGCTGATTGAAGTCACGTAGGAACCACATCATCGGTTTCCTAAGGGAGAAAGAGGAGAAGGAGATCATTATGTGTCATCTACTTATTACTCTAACCTATTACCTAATTAAGTAATGTCTATCTTGTAAGTAACCAACTATATTAATACCTAGTTAAGTATTGTCTACCTGATAAGTAACATCCTATAATAATACGTAATAATGATATACCATATTAGGTAATTATACAGTTTATAAGTAAATTTTTATATTGTAAGTAATAATCTATCGTGTTTTAAGTTGCCAAATATTTTATTAAGTAATGCTCTAACCTATGTTATTAAGTAATTCTCTATTTGCTTACCTTAATAAGTAATCTTATATTTCAACTACTGCTCTATTGTATAACTGATTCTGATTCATCATATTACGTTTATCCAAGTAATCATCCGTCTGTTATATATAATACTACCAAGTACTGCTGAAGCTTTAGGTATGAATCTATGAGTAATGATTCATCTTATTGTTTTATTATAAGACCATAAGTAAAGCTCTATAATATTCCCAAGTGGATTTCCCTTAATTATTACTCTATAAAATGTCTGAGGGCCGCATGTGGCCCTCAGGGAGGATTAATGAGGCCCTCGGCAACTAGTAAAAATAAATATATTACTGCATATTGATCGAAATTAAATGTAAACAAATATTATTATAATACGGTGATAAGTATCGCACATCAAGCATGTCTCACCTCTCAAGTGGACTACTCTCTCATCTCTCAAGTGGACTACTCTCTCATCTCTCAAGTGGACTACTCTCTCACCTCTCAAGTGGACTACTCTCTCATCTCTCAAGTGGACTACTCTCTCATCTCTCAAGTGGACTACTCTCTCATCTCTCAAGTGGACTACTCTTAGGAATCATTTTGGTATTTTCTCTACAGTATAACAAAGTTGATAAGAACATTAGAACATAAGAAAATAAGGAGTCTGCAATAGACCGGTTGGCCTGTGCATGGCAGCTAATGTCGAGAGTTACTACCACTCTCTATCATCCACGAATCTATCTAGTGTTCTCATTATGATTCCTTCATTAAGTTTACAATCACTGTCATTAATGTGTATATTATTTACTACGCTTATTAACATTAAGGTCAATGTGTTGTCCTCATCCCACAGTTGCCCATCTAATGTGGTCCACTCACGCAGAGGTTGAGCATCACTACACTGTCTCATTTAAGTGATTCTCTATATTTTATTATTTAAGTAATGTTCATCACTACCCACGTATTTTATTATTAAGTAAAGCTTGGCAATGTTAAGTATATAACACACACACACACACACACACACACACACACACACACACACACACGCACAGATCATCATTTTGCATTTGAAACCTTATTACGACCTTAAGCTGCGTCAGTGTGATCAAGTCAAAAAAAAATTGTCATTCAGTCTTGCACAAGTATTTCCCTAAACAAACACAAGTATTTTTCAGTCCGGGTATTTTTCCTGTCATTTTCCTTAACATACACAATTATTTTCCTTCCAACAATAATATTATCATACCTTGGATGCGGATTTCTTCTTTAAACATTAAATAAGTTTGTAATATTAGCAAACAAGCTTAATTTACTTAACATAAGCTAGATACAACTCTCATTTAGCTTTTGCATATATTAGTCCGTAAATAAAAAAAAAACGATTTATTTTTAATAATTTCCGAAAATAAAAATATTACAGCTCTCCATTAATCAGCTTCCATTTTTAAGGCCTTTACATACACAGAAAACTGGAAATCTGTAATGGAGAACTCATGTATTTTATTTATTTAGCGATAGAGTCTCAGTATATGTTTTCGACTCGGGTATAAAATTCAGAGAGCAAAGGCATGAAAGTGTAATGCTTCGTAAACGCGCGTAGGCTGCGTGTAAAGAGGATATACAGGCAGTAGAACTCATAGTGTGGCCAAGTAAAGGTCATTTTAGCTTTACCTAACCTAACCTAACCCAGAGAAGTACTCAAAACTCACACTGCTAAAAGCTACTCAGCTGTGGTAATGAACTCCGCAGTAAATGAGCCTCAATAAAATTTCTGAAATATTATTGTATATAAGATTTTTAAGCTGTTGTGTGAGGTATTTCATTGACTCAACTTAAAGGGTATCATTCTTTGTATACCTGTAGTCCACATGTTAATGATGAACCAATATGAACTTTTATGACCATCTTATAGAATACATATCTACCTACCTATATACCTACTTATGTATCTATCTATCTATCTATTGTTTACAAACATACTGATGGTTATATACACAGGTGGGGGGGGGGGTGCAAGTGACATTACAGATCAGCTGATGTTTGTTTGTTTAGGAAGTAAACTGGAGGTGCTTGTTACCATCATAACTACTTGTATGTCTCTTCACCAGGGACGAATTAAAGTTGGGTTCATGGCATAGTAGAGCAGTTTGATATTTCGGATCACCTGAAGATTAGACAGCCCAGATTATTTCGCATGATGAGTTAGACAGCCCAGTTTATTCCATCTGAAGATTAAACACCAGAATATGTCACAGTTTGTTTGTTTGGTTTCTTGCTTGTCCGGGAGATATCACTGGCACTTTTTTAGATAATACTAACCAGGTGCTTTGGCATTTTCATATTTTAGTTGTTGATTCATCTTGCACATTAATTCGTACATGGGAGACAGTATACAAGGATTAGCCTCGCCCTAAGCTTATTTCACCAAATGATTAAACACCTCTAACACTTCCCAGGGTGGGGGTAGGTGTGGTTAGCGTTAGGTGTTTAAATATTCGGTGAAATAAGCTGTAGGGATAATTTCACCATCCCATTGAACGTACCGATAGTTGTCTGATAATTTTTTTCTTCACATTTCTCCCGCCAGCCACAGTGAAGTATGATGCAAAGATACGGCGACTTGGTGCAAGGAGCGTGGAGTTGCCTCGTACATTCTATATTACAAAGACTTCCATAAGACCCAGAAGTTCTGAATTCAGTAAAAGAACATGTAAATAGTGTATATATTTGAAAATAGTGATAAGTTCCGTGCTGTCTGAATAGTCCTACTGTTCAGTATTGTATAGTTATTTTGAGGAAACTAGACATATTTTGTGGTTTGTAGCAGCTATAAGATAAAAATCCGATATAAAAATGACTTCAAGTAAGAATTGTATGTAGCAAGTGTGTCAGCATCACTCCCCGCTCGCTCTGGGCTGTGTGTCGGCAACTTCAAACAAAATATCTTTAGCACACCAACTCTGTTCATAAACACTCCAGACAACTTCCCTACCATGCTACAATGAAAGTTGAATGTAAGTGCATCCTTCTGGTTTTCTTCTTTTATTAATTAGCCCATTTATAAAGTGACATTAGATTAAAAAACATGCTGAAATATTCCCGGGTAGGGGGGGGGGGGAACTGTTCGGTGGTTTTTTAAGACGCCCTGGGAGTCCAAAAGCCTTATGATTCCGGCGCTTATTGTGGTTTAATAAATGTCTACCTACCTGTTTCTGACAGTTCCAGCCACTTGGCATTGAAAGAAAACGTCGGAGTGTCGAGTGTATGGGAGACGAAGGTAAACATGTCTCTCCTGGTCCCGGCCAAGCGATAATAGGAAGGTTTTGATAAGTGGAAAAAAAATAAGGAATCAAATGTTGTGAAATACGAAAATAGAAGTTTAATGAACTAAAAATTGTATCGTTGTGGGTTGTGGTTTGCTTGATGTAAACAAATGTCAAATGACTATTTAAAAATAATTACTTCGAATTTTATTTTCAAATAATTGGTTATAGTAAAGATTTATAATTTATCGTTGTACTTCAACATTACATATTATATTAGCTGAAATGAACTAGAAATCCCGTCAAGATGTACTGTAGGTGCGTGCGTGCGTCACTCTGGTGCTCATCCAGGTGTAGGTGTATATGGAGACTCATAACCATGTGGACAGAATTACACACACACACACACACACACACACACACACACACACACACACACACACTGCCGGATGAAGGCAATAATGTAGGAAAATGCCACGCCTGAGGTATGGTAGCAAAGAGCTGACCCCTTGAATTTATGGTCTTACAAATATATGAGCAGCCAGGACCACTGCCTCTCATAAAGTGAAGACTTACCAGGACCACTGCCTCTCATAAAGTGAAGACTTACCAGGACCACTGCCTCTCACAAAGTTAAGACTTAGCAGGACCACTGCCTCTCACAAAGTTAAGACTTACTAGGACCACTGCCTCTCATAAAGTTAAGACTCACCAGGACCACTGCCTCTCATAAAGTTAAGACTCACCAGGACCACTGCCTCACACAGCACAAGGCGAGTCAAGAGCCTCTCAAAGCCACGCATCTTAAAATAACACATGTAAGAGACTCTCCACAACGAGTCTCTCTTATGCTGGATTTTTCTTCTTCGACAACGACTTCCTCTTAAACCCCAGTCATGGAAGGTTGCCTCTCTTACCGTAAAGTGGGTCACACAGTTCCATCTCTCGTAGTGGTGTTAACAGCCACTTGTGTCAACATGTGAAGCTCCGTCGACACCCTCGACTTTTACAGTGGCTGTGTGGCTCCTTCACCTCCTTCGGCCACTCTAAGACTTCCTCATTACCTCCCACACTAAAATAAAGCGACCGAGTCAAAGGTTATGTTTAAGGTGTAGAAGCTGTCGCCAACACAACAAACACAACCTGAGTTAACGAGTTGCATAACGCAATGTCAAGGAATAGTCCGAGAAGACCGGATAACTCGTCACTGTACTGGCTAACCATTACCCCGGAACACGATCCGCAAATCGATTAACATCCAGGTCCCCAATTACTGCTGGGTGGACAGAGGCAAATGGCGAAAAGAAAATTGCCCATATTTTCATCCTGCCTGAGGATCGAGCCCGGGTTCACTCTCCTACGAGGCGAGCATGCTGACCATTGCACCACAGGTCCCCAACACTCTCCCAAAACACACCTACCACCAACACCCTCACACAACACACCTGTCACCAACACCCTCACACAACA